GAGTGTAGTATAGGGGCCTTAATAATTAGAATAGGGTTCCTTTAAAGGGATCCTTAAAGGGTTCTATAAGGGATCTATGATAGGGTTGTACATTAGGGGCCTTAATACTTAGCATGGGGTTGGGGGGTACAGTTTACTATAGTTCTAATAAGGAGCCCCCAACATAGTATAGGTAATTATTAAGGCCCCTGTATTAGTTTTAGTTTAAGGCTTTGAGATCTGGGTCTTCCGCCAACTTTAACGCTAGGAATGCACAAGCAGCGGCTGCATTTTCTGTGACAGCATGAAGGGTTTAGAGTTTAGGTTTTCATTCCCTCTACCCTAAACTTAAAACCGCAACCACACCTTACCCTCAACCCTCTTCGGCTTTAGTGGTCTTGTGTTTTCCTAAGGTAAGTTTTGCTCTACCTGTATCCAACCCTAAACCTGAAACCCCGGTTCTGTTTTATGCAGTCGAAAACGAACCGAGTTTAAATAAAAGCAAACGAACCCCCAAACCCTAAACCCTAAGTGCCCTAAACCCTAAACCCTAAGTGCCCTAAACCCTAAACCCTACGTGCCCTAAACCCTAAACCCTAAGTGCCCTAAACCCTAAGTGCCCTAAACCCTAAACACCAAGTATTTGCCAGGTTCAAAGCCCCGAATGGAAGGCCGCCTTGATTGCCATGGCTCTTTTCCTTGTCATGCCCTCGGTCACGGCTTAGGGTTTAGGGTTTGGGGCTTGGGGTTTGGGTTTAGGACTTCGTGCTGGTTTAGGGCTGCAGGGGTTGGGTTTCAGGGTTTGGGGCTTTGTGGAGGGCTCAAGGCTTCGAACTTAGAGTGTTGGGTTTGGGATTTGGCCTCAGTCAGTAGAGATGGGTCCATCGACTTTCTCGTCTTGGAAGTACGCTGTTCAGGCTTTATAGGGTTTGGTCTGAATTCTACTTTGCTCCGGAAACTCAGTGATGTTTATTTAAGTCTGGCAGATGCTGCGTCGTAGATGTATTCTCAGAGGAGCGCAAAGTTGGGGCCCCATGCACTCACTGTATGGGCTAGTCTCTACGGCGTATGAGGGCGCAACTAGCGGCTGAATTTTACTAAAAAAGTTGCTCGTGCCAAGGGGGGTTGCAAAGCACAGCAGAACAAGCTAGACATAAAATAGCGAAGTGCGCATGGTAGCAAACCCTGATCTAGTCTTCGTCGAACGCAACGGCCTTCGCACATAGTTACCAAGAGTGTTACCAAGGATTATTGCTACTTCGTGAAGGGAGGCAAGGAAGCGCGACGAGAAAGTGCACTCGGGAGGCACGGGTCCAATGAGCTTCAGGACTTCTGCTGGGTTGAGAGAAGCTTTGGGGTTTGGGGTTAGGGCTCAGGGTACCTGTGTGCCCATTGGTGGTTTAGCGGGTATTGGGGCTTTTTGGACCTGGACCCCATCCCAAAGCGTATGCTCTTCTGTGATTAGCTTGCGTGCTGTGCGGGTGACGATTACGACCTTGTCGGACGCTGGCGCGTCGTGTCATTTGCAGGAATGTAGGTAGTTTTCTAGATTAGGGTCCCTTTTCGGGTCCTTATTATAAGGGTGCCGTACTATATTGGGGACCTAAAAAGGGACTCTAATTCAGAGAGCTACCCATGTAGGTGTTTCTTAGAACATGGGCTCCCTGTCTAGTGCTCCGTATAATACAGATCCCATTATCTACGGTGTGTAAGTAGCTAAACTAGTATGTTTAAGTAGTTCATACCCGAGCTTGTGCTGGAAAAAAGCCAAATCCTGAAAACGTATCAAACGGGCACTCTGCAAAGACGAAAAAGCCGTGACAAGAAGCATAAGGCAGGAAAGCAGCTCAACAAAAACGCGCCACGAAAGGCATGGAAAAACGCAAAGGCGCGCAGGGCTTGGGTTCCAAAACGTAGCTGGCTCGCGAAGCATTATTCTGAATCACTCGCACGCGGCACGCGACTACTAGTTGACGTTGACGTTTTTCTGATCCACCAGAGCTTTTTCTTTGGGGTAGGGTGGAGGGGGGGACGACTGAAGGGGGGCCGGGAGCATTTTTCGAGTTTCCCAAGGCACAAAAAGGGCAAAAACACGGATATATATGTTTGCTACCCCCCCCCCTCCAAAACCCACCCCAGAAGCCGAACCGATAA